TATTGTTATTACAAAAAGGAGTAGAAGTAATATTTGGCTTCTCAAGTAAATACATGAATAAAAAGTAAATAAAAATACAATCAAAACTTTGTTCAATAATTTTAAAACATTGTTAATTCAAAGAAGCAAGAAAAATAGCTACACATCGTAGTGTCTTGTTTAGTTACAATTTAACAATGAAAAAAGCTTAAAACATTATCATGCACACTGCAGTTTAAACCTCGATATAGAGAAAAACTTTCTCAAAACCAATCAATCGAGCAAGTTGAGAAAATATTAATTTTTATGAAAGTGAATTACACCATTCCAGTTAAGGTGACTCGACCCAGTTATTTTGTGAGGGTACCATCCTACTTTGAATCTCTCTGTTATCCCCACCTTTACTTTGATCGTAAGTCTAACATGTAGCATGGATAACATTAGATCAATCTACAATACAGCATAAAATTTTTGGCCATCGGAGTAAATGTCACGTGGTTATAGTGCCACGCCTCTTTGGAGTCTGAGTCGAAATTCTGCTGTTGCCGGCATTTTTTCGTGAAAATCTCTCGGCTGCATATAGTGGGTATTAGTGCCTTGCGTTGAACAGATTTTCACCAAAATCGCAAAGACCCAACGCGAGAAATTCAGTGGTTTCCAAATTTAGGCCATAATTTATGCGAAAATGATAAGCAAACTTTGCACGATTATATCTAATAAACTATGAGATTTATCCCTTTATTTTGGGGATTGTTATAACGATGGGTCCTTCCAGGTCAGCAAAGAGCTTTAGGGCCTTGTAAATGCGCACGATTTCGAGCAATGCAAGCATATAGAAATTGTAGTTTTAGCTATTTGTGGACGTTTGTCAGCGTTTAAGAGTCCTTCTCACGAAGAAAGCATTTTCTTAAAAATTCAAATTAGAGCTTCAAGAGGCGTGGCACTATAACCACGTGAAATTTACTCCGATGGCCAAAAATTTTATGCTATATTGTAGATTGATCTATCTGTTATCCATGCTATATGTTAGAGTTACGATCAAAGTAAAGGTTGGGATACCAGAGAGCGTCAAAGCAGGATGGTACCCTCACAAAATAACTGGGTCGAGTCACCTTAAATAGCATGTAGTTTGTGTATAATGGTCCCGTTGTGCATTTTCGTTAACAGGTGAAAACATTTGTCGTCTAGCCAAAAGGCCCGATTCTAGCATAAATTTTGTGGGACTTGGGGTCAGTCTCTAAATAAGTTTGTTAAATGGAGTCCCTAGTCACGTGCTTACCGTAATCCGAGTGATGACAATTTTTCTGGTATAACATAACTTGACCGCTTACCTCGCTTTTTGGTTTTTCATTACCAGGTTTAGATTCTCGGTAACTATCTCCAGCAAAGGCACAACAGTAGATATACAGATTAGCGACAACATTTGCGATATTTTCAAGGGTTGTAAGCACATTGCTATTTCGAAATAAACGGAAACCTGTGCAGATTGATGAATTCTGGAGCATTTTGACGTTATTTTATCATGTTTTGTTTCGTATAGGGCACTTAGGTATACAAATGACTTGCTGTTGAACACGTAAAATTAATACTTTACAGAAAAATCAAAATTAAATATTCTGCGAATTAATTCGACACTTCCAAAAAATATCGTTTAAGTCAATAAAGCTCTTGCTTTGAAGAAGTTGAGCTTCTAGTCGTTAAAATAATAGTTATTTCTCCGTAACGTCCTGCCTGTCTTAAAATTTTTGCAGCGACGAAACGAAAAGAAAGACGTACTGTTGATACCATATCCTTTTCAGATTTATTCCATTATTTTTTACGCGTTGTATAAATTAACCTGTGATCTGGTGATCTTGCGTTTTCTTTAGATGGCGAGAAGGATTATGGTTCCTTTTTTCCCACGCATGTTACGTTGTAAACAGCCCCATTCTTCATCCAATATACAAGTAAGATCTATTCCATTCCTCAATTTTTCACGGGATCATTTACGGTCGACGATCATTTGCGGTCTAGGGATCATTTCACTTATTATTTTGTAAATTGGACCTTTCATCCCGAGAGAACGGGCTGCGCTCACTCATACTTTTTGTCACAGGATGTCCGGGTTGTTTGTCAATATACCATACAAATGCCTTCGTTTACTTTTAACAGTGGTCCTTTCTGGTAGTTGTCGGATTCGGCTTTCCTCTGATGTAAAAAAAGAAATCATTTGTTTATATCATACGAGAGACAAGGGCCGATTCCCGTAATTCGTTTATTATTTTTTGACTTTTTTCAAATTTGACAAGTACTGAAACATTATGCCATTATTAGTGATTTTTATACACACTTAGTGCAAATTAAAAACGATAAATATTCCATAACAGTTTTCTGAAGAAAAAATATTTATGGTATAGAAAGATTACTAGTTTAATATTTTTTTGTTTGTTTGTTTGTTTTTTCTTTTTCTTTTCCATTGGTGCTATCAACAGCCACTCCGTCACCAACCACGGGTACAGGTAAGGGCAAGTTCTACTATCGC